TTTTATTTCATGTGCTTAAAGCCAATGCATTCAATACTTTCTATTAGGGGCCCTAAACTAATGCGAACATAGAATAAGCTAAACTCAGAGACAAGTAAGCCATATAAAACCAACTTTAACATTAATTCCCTTGCACCAAATTACTATATATCAGCATTGAAAACCAAAATATGTAATTTTCAAAAAAATAATCATTTAAAATTAATTCACATAAGTGATGATTTTTTGGAGGGAGGTACTTACTATCAAGATACTCTAAATTTAAATATTAAAGATATTGTTAGGGTCTGACCTTTGCTCTGACTCCACATTTATTGTAGAAATGTTTAAAGATACAGATCTCAATTCTTTGGGGGCCTTTGGTCCTCCCACAGGAGCTGCTACTTCTGTTAATGTGACCTTCCACCCATGACTAAATTTAGCTGCTTGTGTCTTTTTGAAAATCTGCTCATGAGACAGAGATTATGCTTCATGAATTTCTGATAACATAGTTGGGACATATGCAGCCTCCTGCCTGATACGAAGGGAAGAGGGCCAGCCTGAGGAATGACAGTGAAGAAATGCGAACTAACAACAAAATTCCCAGAGAACCCCTCATTCCAATGAAGTATTAGAAACACCAGACTGAATTGATCAGCTGTCTAATTTACAGACTGTTTTTAAAGCAATAAGATTTCACTGAGTGTCAAGCCCAGAGTGTAACAGGCTGAGATGTAGATGAGATCTAGAAAGCAAAGTTACATAAATCAGCGAGATCTTGCAATTCACAAGAGGCCTAAGTTATATAATTATGTGTTGTGAGCACAAAGGTCTTTAAAAATGGTTTCATTGTTAGACTGATAAGAGAGTAGACATGGAAGAAATACTTTCTGTATCTTTTTATTTGAAATAGCAGTTTGTGCTGGTTCCTCTTCATGGCCCAGCATGTCCTCTCAAACTTTTTTGAGCATCACAAACATCTTTAAAAGCAACAGCTATACAACTACTATTATCGGTGCTTGCTAATTGCTCAGTATGAACCAGGAACCATACTAGGCACTTAACGTAATGTCAGCCCCACAGTAACATTGTGTGTTGGCCACTATGATTATTTCCATGTGCGATTCAGGGACACGGGGGCTCTGAGAGGTTAAGTTAAAGTCATATCCACCAGGAAAGCTTGGGAATCAAGAATCAAAATTTGTGTGTTGATTTTTTTCTAATTCTAAATAGAGGAGAGTACTAGTAAATAGCAAAAATAATAAGCTTTAGCGGTATCTAGATCCAGGATATAGCAGAGAAGATTCTGAACCACCAAGATGAGTCAAGAAATTGAAAATGTCCATGTAAAATCTTCAGAGTCGGTGGGCAGCTGCAGACTTCTCTCCTGCCCTTTATATTCCCTCACGCTGCATACCTTCACCTAGAAGGTTGAACCCTGGTACATGCTGGGTGTTCGTCAGCACATCTCTGGATTGCCATCTTAAAAGGGTATGCCCCTTTATCCAATAGAAATTTGATTCCAGAAAACATACATGTACACAACCCTAAACATGTCCACTTAGCCAATACTTATTTCAGGAGATATAACTTGGGCATCCTAGTGAGTAAATTGGCACAATTTATTTCAAAACCATTCTACAGCAGCGTTGCCCAACAGAACATTCTGCAATGATGCTCATGTTCTCTATCGGCCCTCTAGCTGCGTGTGACTACTGACCACTTGAAATGTGGCCATGATGACTCAGGAACAATGGAACTTTACATTTTACTTAAGTAGTTTACTTTTAAATAGCCATCAGTTTGGTTACTGTATTGGGCAGTGCAATTCTAGAGACTAAAGATTTAATTCTAGAAGCTATCATAAAATTCTAACTAGACCTGTTCCTCGTACTCCCTTCATGTCTTTCCCTGGGCAGGAGAATGAAGAAGTGGGTAGAAAGGGAAGGGGTGGTCGAGTCCAAACGTAAAGTCATTTTCCATGTTTATCTGTCCCAAATTCAAGCTGTGCTTTGTTGACAAAATTTGGGAAGGTTGCAGATTTGGCAGGCCTGTCTGTCCCCTTGCCTGCATGAATGTGTCAGCACCTCATTAATCTTGGGTTAAACTATAAAGGCCCTTTTCCCTCCTACCATGGACCTATTTTTTAAAGGACACTTCAGTGCCCTTTTGCATTTCACAGTGAGATTTTTAAAAAATTTATAACTTGCTCTGTGGATTAATTTAAGCCTATATTTTACTTAAATATATCCTCGTTTCCAAATTGGAATGAGAGAAATTATTTTGGGGATATAGGGGAGTTTAAATGTATTGTGCCATGGGTTTCTGAGGAACATATTGGGTGTTTATATTCTAGAAATTAAAAGCATGAGGAATCTCTGTGTTATCTTTCTCCAATTTAATGAACCTTTCAATGGAATGATTTTATCACACATGTGGTCTTGGTGAATCTTCTCTTTCCAAGAAAAAGACAGAGGGTGTAATGTTTTTTTTTTCTTAACAGTTTTTGTCCCATGTAAGAAGGAGATGAAATATCTTTAAACAATCCTGGGTATTTTAAGCCTGAAGCCTGTAGTGCTTTGTCTTACAGGTGCGTGGCGAATTGTCATTGCTTTTTTTCTCTCAAGACAGACATGGAGAGTAACCACTTTCTGTATTTCCTGGCACTGGAAACAGTTACCGTTTGGGATTCCTTTTATAGTTTCTTCAGCTAACGACTCCAGTGACCACTTAATTGTGGTCTCGTAGTAAATCAAAATTTCTTTGAAAGAGTCAGCTCTGTTATATAATTGTAGATGTCCCATCTCCCTAACTAAAAAGAAAGGCGTATTTCCGTTGCCTCAAATAATACGGATTCTGTCACCACACATAATATTCTTTGAAATGAAAAGAATAGGCCGTTTTCCCCTCCTCCTCCTCCTTTTTTTAAAGTAGCCTACAGTTGATGAGACATACACAGGAGCTTCAGGCTGTGTCAGATCTGGTTGGTCAATCGTGAAGAAAGAGAAAACCAAGCTGCACACTGCTCTTTCAGACTTACCTCCTCCCATGAATGACTTGCCCTAGCTAGGATTCAAGGTGACTAAGGAGAATGCTCTCAATGGTCTACTTTGCGTTTTAATACAATAGAGTTAAAAATAAAGCCAGGGGATGGCCTAGCCTAGCTCCTGCTGAGAGTTAAAGTGAGGGCCCTGAGGAGGATTCAGGAGACCCCATGGAAGCCCTCCCTGGGAGGCAGCATGACCGTAGGCCCTTGTCCTTCCTTCTGCCTCTGGATCTGACAGACACCAGAGGCTTTGTATAAGGAGCAGGGCCCCAAGTGAGGGTCTAGAAGAAAAAACACCAATCAAATCAGCCCAGCCCCACGATTCTATGGAAGCAGTGTGTGCACAGCCCACAGTTCATTGCCACCTTTGAGGCAGGGGGGAAGGAAACTCGCCATATTTTGCCAGGAGGCTTTTAGGTCCAAGTGAGGAGCAGGGGAACTTTTAAGTTTGATAGGTGTTGATGGGTGTAGGGGTCCACACAGGGGGCCACTTTGTCAGGCAGGGCACAGGCCAAGGCCCAGCACTTTCCCCTCTGCCCAAGTCAGGTGACGAAACTGCCCTGTTGCCCAAGACTCTAGAATGCAGTGCCCACTTTGGCCAACTCAGAGCAAAGGCTTCCCCAGGAAAGGGGCCTTGGTGCGTGCCAATTCTTGTAAAGCATTTCACCTCCTCAGAAGCTAATGCCTCTCAAAACCAAGAACAATTAAAGCTCGAGTCTTTCTAAGCAACCGGGGAATTGAGCAAAATAAATCAGAAACCCTCAGCTTGGCTCTGGAGGCTCGCCTCATTATGAGAGCAGATCTATTAGCCCTCTTGCCATTGTCTTTCATTTCTCAAGTGAGGTGATTCTAATTAAATTAATCTGCATGTCAATCTATCGGTGATCAATCAAAGAGCCTGAGGTCCCCCCTCTGCTGCAGGGTGCTTGCGGCTGACAGGGGCTGATAATGGAGGAAGAAATAAACTGTCGAGCAAAGTTAATTAGTCAACATAATAGGTGGATTAAATGGGAGCCAGCTGATTGCTGTTTCCCATGTCAGAGCACAAGGTGGGAGCTGAAGCTGCAATTACAGACAATTATTATATTTGGTTGTAAGAGGTCGCATGAATAAACATATCTCTGTGGGTTTCAGTTTTAATTCTCTTCCCCATTTAATATAAGGAGAAGTGTAGGTCATTTCTTCTCATTGTCTTAGTCAAAATTCTCTGAGAAAACACCTTTCCGACAAACTGAGTTCAGAATTAGTTTATAAGGTGGCCAGGGTATGTGAATTGTACCCCGGACCCATGTCACCATTTGGGGGTAGGAGGGATCTTTGAAACACAGACCTAAGACCCTTCTTGAACAGAGATTTTTTTTTTTTTTGGTGGGGGGGAGTAGTGGTGATGGTGGAGATGGTGGCAACGGGGGCTTTGGTCCAGTTAACTGAACGAATGTAGGAAGAAAAAAGTACAAGAATCCCCTAAAAAAACAGTCAGGAGAGCAAGCTGCATCCCAGCTCTCCCTAAAACCTCTCTTTTTCTTTTCTCTATCCTCTTAACCCTGACACAGGGGAAGGAGGGGGAAGAGGGGGATATTTTAAAGATTCAAAAGATTTTTTATTTGCATGATCAACTGTGATATCTGCTTCAGTGTCTAAACTGAAGGGTAATTTAGGTGAAACACAACCACCCTTGTGTAAAAAAATATGCTAATAAAGATCCTCTTGTTAAAATTATGGTTAACAGTGTACCTTCTGCTGTATAACTATAAACTGTGCAATTTTACTTAAAACTGCATCAAAAGCGTTCCATGCCAAAGACCCGCTCATCAATAGCTCCTCTTGTTAGAGTTGTACAGCATAAGCACCAGTTATTATGTGAAATCGCAATGCAATTTTCTTCAGCTCCCAGCTGTTATTTATTTAACTTGAGTTTATTACCCTCCGTGCTTTTATATTAAAATGTTCATTCATCTCTCTCTTCTGTCTCCAGGTCGTGGTGTCTACGACAGTCAATGTGGATGGCCATGTCCTGGCAGTCTCTGATAACATGTTTGTCCACAATAACTCCAAGCATGGGCGGAGGGCTCGGAGGCTTGACCCCTCGGAAGGTACGCCCTCTTATCTGGAACATGGTAGGCGAATCATTTTCATTGGTTGGCATTGTTACCTTTAACTGTGAATTTATTTTGGTTTCTTTCTTCCAACTCCACCACATTTTCTACCCCATTTCAAATTTCCAATGTCCTGTTGAAGAATGTGGATGCTGAGTAGTTAAAGACAGGAAGATATCTTTGAGTCTTGCCCTTGCCTCTTGCACAGTTTTCTACCCTGAAAATTGGTTGATGTATCTTTCCTTTTTGTTGAGACAGAAGGAGACCTGGATTGCTGCTTTATTTTAAGCTTCCACTTGACTGACAAATAAAAGCCAAAACAGGATCACAAAAATCATGACACATTTTGAGCTTACAGTTGACTTGGTTGTACAATGAACTCCATCCTCCTTGCAATACTGATGGTGTATCGCTGTGACTACATATTTAACTGCATTTGGAGATAAAATCCAAAGGCTAGGTTGGAGGCACTATCTGAATATGCAGCCTGAACTAAGTGTTTCTCCCATGCCCTGTGCAGACCCCTTCCCTCATCATCACGTGGCAGAGCCTACTTTGTGTATTTAGCCTTTGGTGGGGAGAAATCACATTTGTCTTGAATTTATTTTCTTTTGCACATTTTAAAAATATTGTTTTATTCCACATTTTGATTACTTCTTTTTCCCTTTTCTAAGATGACCTCATCAAAGTGCCAAAACTCACCAACTTAACCCTAAATGGAATTTTTTTCCAGTGGTGGCAGTGGACATGCACCTACTCACTTCATGTGTTTGTTAGAATCCTAGTTTTATTCCTCAGACACAAAGGAACACAGGGAGTGAATGACATGAGGTCACTAAGGAAGAATGCCAAAGACAAAATCTCT